AGACGTTCGACGTCGTGGAGAACGTTTTGCCGACTGCTGCATAGTAGAGACGGATAGGGATGAGGGTGGATTGGTTATGTTGTGGGGAGGAATCTCACATGGAGTTAAATCGCCACTGGTTGTGGTAATTGATAATTAAACTGACGCTAGGTATACAGATGAGATCTTCCGACCCCATGTTGTCCCATTATTACAGCAAAACAATCTCACATTCAAGCAGGAGAATTCTCGGCTCCATGTAGCGAGGAATTGTCGCGACTTTCTCACTAAAAACGATATCGACCCACTGACTGACCGCTATGCAGCCCTGACCTATCCCCTATTGAACACTTGTGGGGCCAGCTGGATAGACATGTTCGACGACGCCAGCCTTCCCATGTTACTCTGGCCTAACTGAGAAAAGTCCTCAGGGAAGAATGGGCTAACATTCTAATGAGGAGGATAAACTCACTAATTAACTCCATGCTTAGGCGAATCAGGACTGTTGAGAGAGCGAATGGGGGACATACCGGGTATTGAATGGTTAGCTGCCACAATCAGTCCATTTCGATTTCAGATTACAGAGTTCTATTTCAAGTCCCTTCAATTACTTTTAAATCACCTACCAGATAGAAATCATTGATTTTGCAGTAAGGATTAATCTTCATTATAACTTTGAAATAATATATATTATACTCGACGTTTTATCTAAAATCATCTTCAAAGTTTACCCTGCGTTGCTTTATCCCTTGAGTATATTTTAGAACAGGTGAGAGATACGCAAAGGATAGGGCACTGGCTAGCAACATGAAAGCGCACCTTAGTGTTTACAACAACTTAATTCAGTTAGTGAAAAATGAGTTTGATCTTACCAGAAGGGCACCGTCACTATTTGTCAAACTAGATGCTACTGCGGATTATTGTCACTTTCCAAAGTTAGACATGGAATACCGTCGAACAATATCCATGGCACAAACCAAATAACATTGGTACTACTGGCTACATAAGTGAGCACTTCAGTGATAATAGTGACCACGAGATCTGGGTCTATCGGCACTCTCGAGACATGATACGATGTCAGATCCACTCAATACATAAGGAGCAGTGTAAAGTCCAATGTTTGGATTCAGCGTGACAGCATCGACGCCATAAATACCAAATAATTATTATTGTCAGTGTCCTACTGGACGGAGAACCATTGGGTATGTGCCCATGTAGCCTGTGTCCTGTGCTATCTAGGATGTTACATGCATTTGGAAACCAGTAAGCCTTTGCATCCAAAAGTCAAACAGATTAAGACAAACCTCAAGTAATGTAGATTTCGCTACCAATCACCATCTCAAGGCATTTCAAGGCATTATGTATGGTGAACTTGGACAGTTACAAGTACAAGTTTGTGGTTATCAGGGTACATGACGGCCTTTTTGAAACTTAAAATTTGGGTTATGAATGTAAACTTTACAATACTTCAATCCAAAGCAGATTTTCCCCTTTGCTCATTGTTACTTAAAAATAAATACATAGCAATATTGAAAGTCTATTTTAATTATTTAGTCTTACAATGTGAGACTGTATACTACAATTTAGAGTGATTTGGTCTCAGTAGGAATACAACTAGTTGTTTCCCAGTAAACAAAAAATGGCCGCCTGCCACACTTCGGTATTAGTATAGTGAGGTAGTTTGACGTTAGTTAGAGGCTTTTATAAACAGCTTAAAAATCAATACATAGCTTTCTTGTGGAACACCTAACTTGTAACAAAATTCTTAAATTCTTAAAAACACTGAAACATAAGAGATTAAGTCAACGCCGTTTGTGTCAGTGTCTGCTAGACGTCAGTCTCATAGCCCACACATGAAATCCGTTACAAACAAAATATCCTTTTGAACATTGTAACCTTTTGACAGGAACGACATCCATTTAGAACGTCCGTGGTAATTCTATTCTAAAATCGCATAAATCCACAAGAGAATATAAATATTACCGAAGAAATACATCGCTTCGTGCACTCTGATTGCATTCATGTTAAGTTAGATATAAATACTCTATAAACGGTGTTTTTATTCCTTGAATTACTGAAATAAGTTTACATTTTTGTATCAAAATGATTTTTTGATAATACTATTTGTAGGTTTTGCCTAATACAATATTGTTGTTTCAATTACAAGAAGACAAATATGAATGCATGGAAATGGTTTTAATCATGATTTCCTTTTCCAATTTTATTTGATGAATATTAATGCAAATTTACATTAATTATTAATACTGAGTATTTGGTTTTTATATTTTCTCCGATTTTCATTACTTTATGTTGGAGGAACATGCTGACTGTTTCACAAAATGAAGCATTTGATGTAGCTATCAAGGTCAAATTGTCCACGTGTAATAGTGGTATTACATACAAATAAGCAGGATGTCATGCAAAGCTCCTTTAACCTATACTGGTATCTTACTCTGAATTTTAGACATTTTAATATTGTTTTATGTGTGATATAAAGGCATTTGGCATTGTCCTTTCTGCGTTAAGTCATTCATAACCTGATTCTTTACGCTGCGGCTACAGATATAACCATTTCCTGCGTTCATTAGCAGAACTCATGTGACATAACCTGAAGGCATATGAGTTTCTAATGTATTTTAATATTTTTATGATTTGTGTATACGTGACTTAAAGCTTTCTGCTGAGTAATGAGTCATAATAGAACAAATCTCGTATTTCGCTTGTGCTGTGGTGATTCTGACGGTTTAGTATGATGTCAATAGTAGTGACCTCACAAACAATTGGCTTCAAGAACACTTACTTGACTAAGCTCACAGCAGAGTATAAAGCAATGAAACTTTAACCTAGCTAGGGAAAGGAAATAAAGTAATCGTTGGTACTGATATACCTGATATTCAACCCGAATATCTTCCACATGATCATTAATCTAGTTGTAATAACTGAAGTTTTGCCCACGATGTTGAGAATTGACAAGTACCAACAACTCATTTTATTTGTCTATTCATACACACAAGTAGCAGCTGCCAGTAATAGCATGGCCTTGCCCCTCAAAGCATCTATAACTATTTACCTGTTTCCTACACAACAACAAGTATGTGCAGTAGTCACTGTCATCAGGACGCTGACGGACCCCCTATTTTCCATTCATTCTATTATTCTATAATTTATGATCATCACTATGGTCTCATTGAAAAATATTCTACTTCCTTGTGCGGTATGAGTTTCAGTTCTCCTTAGTGTGCCTAGTGACGTGATTCTTTGTTTTCAACGGAACATCCGGAACAATGGTCTTATTCTTTTTGTGCCTTTTCAAAGATTTTCCCGTAAACCCTTTTGTAGTTCATATTTTATTCTCGTGCTTTAGTTTTTGAGTTTGAATTGAGATTATGTTGATTTAAAAAAGCTCGTCCTGGGAATTAAAACAGTCAACAAATATCATTAAAATCTTTGAGAGCCGTCAATGAAAATGAAAACTACAAGTGCTGCTTGATGTACAGGTATCTGTGGTAATGAGGTCCGGAACACATGCTTCATGTTCACCTAGAGACGCCGAACTCCAACCAATAGCGCAACAATTTCTCCGATTCCTATTGCTTAGGTATTGTTTCATTACAACTTTCTATAATTTCGTTGAACTTTCAATACAGTTAAATCTTCCGCAAGTCCTAGTTATATCGTTTATCAACAAAATTTCGATTTCAACAAGTGAAGATATAGGCAAGCCTATACAATTTTGGTTGAGCATAAATAAGGTGTATGCAAGCCTTAGTGTACATGGCTTACCATTCGGAATTGCCGAACTGTTTTATATCCCTCGGTATCATGAACAGATTCTACAACTGCATGTTTAGCTGCTACTCAAACAGATATGTGCCTTTGGTATGACTATTGATGTTTGCAAATGACTGCTGCTCTTCCTTGAAATTTTGAAGCAACATCAATAGAACAATATGTGAAGAAAATTGCATGTTACATATTTTATTGAAGAATTTGTTAAATTAATTCAAAATCCCACTGATAAAGCTTCTCTAATGGAATCAGGAGTCAAGGAGCAATCACATCAAATGTGCATCTTAACGGCATAGTTTGCCTACTACTAAAGACAAAATGATAAAGAATAATGTTTTGTATGGAAATTCAAGGACGTGAATCGTTGTTCGTTTAAATAAAAGTCTCTTCATCATTCTAACATTTAACTTATATTTTTGTAAACACTGTTTATCATATTACACCGGAACAGGTCCGGCATTAGTACCTAATACATAACTGTAGACATCGTTTTTTACGTTCCAAATGTCAGCAAATGTACCTGCATGTTTTGTAATATAAAACATGAGATTGTGAAAATGCCATGTTTTTTTTATCTGCGATTTGAATTGATGTTGATTTACTGATAGCTGTTTTGTTTATAGAGAATTATTCATCATATTCCTTCTTGCTCTCCATCATAAAGGATGACTCATTTGTATAAACGGAAGACAAATGAGGTAAAGATTAAACCTCAATGCCTTCTTCAAAGGGATTTTGACCAAATGTGGCCAAAAGTATTAACATTTTGTATACCAGTAGATTTATCTACTGTCCCCTTCCCTAGCGGGCATAGAGGTCGGATCCAGTAAAAATATATAGTATTAAAAAAAACTACTTGAAGCTGCTTTACATGCGACCAGGAGCAAAATCATTATGCATTCTTAAAATAGTTAAAATTTACCCATTATTATAACTATAGATATACTTGTACTATATGATCGGCACTATACTGGCCATATAGGCCTCTTGTCATCAAAAATGATATTAACGTAATAGGTAATTTGAATAACAAATGCATGCAATAAATAATATGCAAATGACCAATATTAAACAACAGGTGTGAGGTACAGAAATTAAAAATCAAAGAAGCAACTAGAACTTAATGATGTCCAGGGTGTAGAATTAACATCATTAGTATCGTTCGATTGTTAACGTGTTAAATTCTCTGCAAATGCAAACACTGGTGTTCATTCCTCGTAGAAGCAATTGAGATGGATATCATAGAAATGACAGATGAACAGGGAAACTGGTACAAGTACAAGCGATACGACGGTAGACCTTACGTTCCACTTGTTTACGGCAATGTCAAGGATCAGCTACAGCTGCTCGACAGCTATGAATTTCGCAATGACGACGTGTTTCTCTGCACATATCCCAAATCAGGTATCATAGCAAAATGTTATATATTTCGTTAGTAGCCATTGCTGTCTCTTGGAAGAATTGTTTAGTTTTTATTAACTTACTTCAATATAAATTATAGCAGTCAAAGGTATTACATAGATTTGTTTGTTCCTTTTGAAAAAAACCGATTTGAACTGAATGTAATCATCCCGTCAGCAAAAAGCTTATACTAGTATTTATATCGCCATATTACCAGTTTTATTTCCTGTCAGTTATCCTCCAATAGGGCAATCGATATGGATGTACGTTGACGGTGAAAAAAAATCAAAAAATTAAATATTCACTATGGGGATTAAGGAAAACTATTTTTATTATATAAACACATAATGATATGTTTTCAAACATAAAACTGTAAGACTCTACTTTTCTGGACTTTTTTTTTGTAGGAACACATTGGGTACACAATATCATCAACATGTTACGGACAGGCTCGATGAAGCACCAAGGCGGACATGAATTGATGGAGTTCCACGATATCAAGAGACTTGATAATATGTCTCATCCTCGAACAATCGCAACTCATATCACTTACAATATACTCCCTTCAACCATCAAATGTGGCGTCGGTAAAATCGTATATGTTATGAGAAACCCAAAAGACGTTTTCGTCTCACTGAAGTGCTTTTTAGGTTTGCTAAAGAAAAATGTCTACGAAGGGGATACAGACGGTCTTCTGAGAATATTTCTTTCGGATGAATGTAAGTTACGTTGTTAATCATTTCAAATCACGAAGTAATTTACATTGTTTAAACGAAATCAGATTTAAAAGAAAAATAAATAGACGCAACAATATTAAAAAAATGAAATGACAGCTATTCAAAATAAGTGTGACTGAAGACATATACCAAAAATACACCAGATGGCAATAATGTTATGTAGGCAATTCGGCTTTGTTTAACACTTGGTTATAGATGTGCGAGTGTCTGTGGCCCCGTCGTCCATGTTAAGTACTGGCCCGCTGTGGCGTATCCTGCTGGCATCCTTAACCGACCGCCTAAATTGGCTGTTTTCCATGTCGACTATTTTGAAGTTTTCCCTATCAATGATAAGAATTTGATTAGTGGAATGATCTCTAAGTGCAGATTTACTTATCTGGGACTGAGAATGTTTTCGCTCTGATCTAGATATTTTTTTTTGATGTCCATTGATTTGGACTCAGAATCTTCTACTTGTTTCTCCGATACAAGATGCGTTGTAGTTCTTGCATCCGATATTGTATATGCATTCTTCGACATTCCTTTTTGGTGTTTTATCCTTAGGGTGGACTAGGATATTTCAGAGAGTCTTGTATGTTTTTTATGGCTATTGAATGCCATGACCACGGTAAATCTTCTGAACGGTTTCCGACAGGCCTTTGATGCAAGAGATGGCAACTTGTCCTTTCGTTTTTTGCTTTTATTTGGTGTTTCGTCTCTTAGTATTTTTGCTTTTATCAAATTCATTGTTAACTTTCTGGATTGCCCAGTCAGGGTACCAACATGTTTTCATGGAGCTATGGGTGTGATTATAAGCTCTTGCTTCTTGTCTTGTTTTTCTGTAACATTCGTTTCACATCTGTTGAGCAAGGTTCGTACAACGCCCAACTTCTGGTGTAAGAGGTGGTGCGATCAGAAGCAAAGGTATTGGTTCGTGTGCGTCCTTTTCCTATTGACCAATACTCTGATAGTACCGTCATCTTTCATTACTAGGAGGTTGTCAAGGAATGGCAAAGCATCATTGATTTCTTCCTTACAGGTAAAACTGATGGTGTTGATGGTATCTTCAGTCAAATTTTTCTGGGATCAAAGATATGGGACATATTGTTTTTTCTGTTAACACCAATTTTGTATCTATGCTCTATACAGTTGGCATTGGAGTCGGCGGTTCTTGGTTCAATCACACAAAGGAGTGGGATAATGCAAAATCAGTGAACACTGCTCTCAACATTCACACTATCAAGTACGAGGACATCAAAAGGGTAGTGTATATATGTCTTTGCTGTCTTTACTGTCAATTGTTTCGGTTGTGAATACCCAGAATTTTTAAAATTCAAATATTAGCAAATATCGATGACGAAGTGTGTTACAATTCAAAGCCAGATTCGTAAAATCTTTATCTCTAAATCGTTTAAATGATATGTGAAATTCAGTGGCAAGCATGGTGTAAACAAACATCAAATTTTCTGGATCACAGTGATTTTGGGGTGAATTAACTTAGAAAATAAACCAAAAAATAATAATAATTAAAAAAAAAAAAAAAAACGTGTTCTAAAAGAAGCATTTTCTACATGTTCTACACAAGAATACGACACGCCAAGTATTCGATGTAGGATCACGAGGTGTCAAAGTAATCAGAAGTGTCAACGTTCAACATTCCTCCCCAAACGCAGAAAACGAAATGCTAGTGTGACAGAGTTCATTATTAATTTCAATGACTCCGCTAGAATTCGAACCTGGGACCTCTGGCATACAAGAGAGAAGTTTTCTCTTACTGGGCGGTATAAAGCGGCTGGTATTTACCAGAGTTACATACCACACCTCCAGGAAATAATTCGCCCTTGAGTTTCCAGGGGTTACAGCGTTGTCTGAAGAACAATGCTAAGTATTATTCATGTGTCTCGACATCAGGGCCAATGTAATAGAGGTCATTATGTTATTTTAAGGCCTCCAGTAGGACTCGAAGCTGGGACCCCTGGCTTGCTAGTCAGATGCTCAGCCGATCGAGCTAAAGAGCAGTTCTCTCCAGCCAAGTGGGGTTACATTGGTGTGAAATAGAACTTTCATAACTAAAAAAGTTTTACAAATAACGGATTATCGATGGTAAATGTCATAGATTTTTAAAATGTATTCTTCATCTCGCATCCCAACTTGTGAACAGAATAGTATCCCATGTTATCATCGCTATGAATACATTTCCTGACATTTTGGAAGCCAGAAAGTAAAAACTTATTTTTCCCTTGCAATTATTTTCCATTGCCTTCAGTGTAATGTATTGGAGACACACAAGTCAATAACATATTTACATAGCAATCTAGATTTAAAAACAGTAGAGTTAAATAATGAATTAAACTATTACAATAAGCTTGTTACTTCCTTTTTAGTTGATATTTTGAAAATTATAGTATTTTTTTTTATTTCATGTTAAGGATCCATATGGGGAAATTGAGAAACTTGCTAAGTTTCTGGAAACAGACAGTAGCGTTACTTTCTTGGACAATATTGTGAAACATATTGAATTTGATAGAATGAAGGAAGAGCACACAAAAAGCGCCGGCGCTACAGAGCAATGGGCGCACCTGTGTGAGAATGGTCGTCTACCGTTGTATCGAAAAGGTAAACTGTATGTAATGACATGTAATGAAAAGTTGATCGACAAACACAATTTGGGTGACAGATCACGATGATAGTCTGTTATAATTTGACTTAATAGGTTAGTAGTTATTTAAATAAAGTGATGCTCAAAATATCATATTATTACCAGTTTCTTATGTGACGTCAGTGAAAATTCTTAATGTAGAAGATATTTTTAGGTGACTACCAACATTGCAGAATTTCTGAGACATAAAAAAAAGCCTTTTACTTCAAACGAAACATCAACTAAAACTCCTGGAATGAACATATTGCTTTTTTGTTCGGTATGCATGTGATTTTCCAAATCTATTTGATGAATGTCAATGCAAATATTTACCGTTTTAATTAATTACTGTTACTGTCCGCAGGAATCATCGGAGATTGGAGGAACATGCTGACTGTTTCACAAAATGAAGTATTTGATGCAGCAATCAAGGACAAATTGTCCACGTGTAATATTGATATTACATACGAGTAAGCAGGATGTTATAAAAATCGGCTTCAATGTATATTAGTATTTTACGCTGAATTCTAGACATTTTAATGTTAATTGTATTTGTTAGCTGTAGATTTTGCAGTTTTTTGGAGTGTGACCAGCAATCACTTGGGATTACCTGATGGCATATTTTCTAAAGGTTCTAAACTGTTTATGTATTATTTACAATTTGTATTTTGTGTTTTAGTTTCTGTTGTGTGATGGTGGTATGGGAATTATAAAATACGTCGTGTACTTTTCTTATGTAGTTTTGATTCTGACGATTAAGTATGACGTCATTAGTAGTGACGTCACAAACGAAAAGCTACAAAAGGATAACTTTGTATTACACTTTGCTAGCCCAAGAGTAGAACATCAATCAATAAGGGATTAATTCCGGAAAAGTCATTTAACTATTCAGCAAATATTTTAAACGAGACGAATAAAAAAGTGTTGAACTCTTCACATTCAATCTGTCTTGTCGTTTTTTATTTTATGGATTACATTTTTACCTGAACCACTCCCGTATTGATTGCTATATATATTCAACCTGTTCATAAATTGAGATATAATAGAAAAATGTTTCATCTTGTTTGATATTTTTGTTAGAAATCACAGAGAAACAAGAACGATATAAGCATACATGTAAGTACATTTCTTGCTCATGTAAAAGGTCATTAAGTTCATGCCGTATGCTAACATAGTACTTGTTAAAGTCCTGTTATTTCTCTTTCTAGTTTATTTTGAAAATTTAAAAGTTATTTAGCTTGAATATTTCGCAGAAATAACAATATTATGTAATGAGAGGAAGAATTAAAGGTTTTATGTTACGTAATTATAAACCGTTCATTACAACTAAATCAATTATCTCCAAATTGATGCTCCTTGAAACAATTCATCAATCCAATAATTTCTTATAATAACCCGTTTTATAATTGTGCTATCCTAGCATCATAGTTATCGTGTTGATTGAGTCTTTTGCATGTCTATTGATGTAAAACGATTGAAAGACACGTTGTACCAGGTAAATAGTTAATTAGGTTGTAGACTAGCATTACTAGCCAGGCACTCTAAAATAACATGTTATTTGCAATATATATATATATATATATTACGTAATCAAGCAACGTTGAGTGTTCGAATATATTGAGAAGTTGTGGTGTTAGTTTTACGTTCAGAATGGTAGCAGTTTATTTCTTCTATTCAAGATAAAATCTACAGACAATAAAATGGCTGTTGATATGGCAGTGTTTAACAACACTACATGCAGCAAACGTGTTTTATAGCTGGACTTAAAAAGTGAATCGATCGAAATGTAAAGGACACGATGTAGACCCATTTGCACATCATGTTCTTGAAATCGAGGAAATAAGGTTTAACAACCTCTGAAATAGAATTTGTTGTAGTCATTTTATTTAGAAGTTATTTACGTTATTAATGTCACCTATGTATGATTTCGTCTTAGTGTGCCTGGGGTCCGTTATTCACAGCTACTCTTCTGCATTAAATCAAATAAAAATAAATGTATACGTGCCCGCTTTAAAAATATATTTAATTAGTTATTTTGCGTGTTTGTTTATTTCTGTTTGGTGATAACTAATGAAACAAAAGTCAAATTTTACGTGTTTGCATCATATCTGTCTACCCTACATCCGCCTTCTCCCCAAATGAATAGTGTTTGTGTTTATAACGTAATAATTCTTAATATACCGAAAAGCCTCACTCAGAACGCCTACTGTAATCGTATATTTAGAAAATATTATGAAAATATATCTCGCGGGGTCGGAAACCTGTTTTATGACCGATATTTCCCGTATTGCCGCAATGTCGACTTCTGATGAGAGATCATTACCAGCATGGTCTTGGTGTGTACTATTTTGAAGGCTCTATGAAATTCGAGAATAATCGTGCCTGTACTTCTCAAGACATAGCGATTGGAAAGTGTAGCTAATAAAATCCAAGGTGGCCGGCCATTTTACTTTTCTGATCAGTCTCGAGATTTGATACTTGGGACACCTATATACAAATTAGAGGAATTGACATCTCAATAATTGTTTACGGCGAACGGATAGACGACGGGTCGACAGACCACGGACGAAGAGCGATTTGGTCAGCACACCATCTGACGTTGGTGGAATTAAGTGTGAGTGTTGGAACTTATTTCTTTCACATGAATGTCATTACCTCTATATATCCTCCCCACCCACCCCCACCTTCCCTTCCCAGTTTAAAAAAAATATATATATATATTTATCTTGCAGAGTAGTTTTCAAGAATATAATATCTCAGTTATTTCGAGATAGTCAAGATATAATTTGTAAACAAAAGGTTGCAATTTGTAAAACAAATACCATTTGATTCATTTTCATATAGTAACATAGAGTTGATAAACAAAAAAATATATCAAACATCAATCAAATAAGCACACATAATTATATATTTGAATGCTAATGGAAACTGAGTCAATTAACAATAATAAACGACAAAAATAATTTTTCCTGCAGCAATAACCGTCCTGTTAATTATTCATTATACAATTTGATTCTAATAAATTCTTTAATTCGATGTATCTCCTCGAACATCTTAAGAAAGTTTTGAAACAATGCAACTCAAAATGCTAAATCAATGAATCATCATAAATTTAAAAAATGCATTCAGTTCCATTCTTCAAATGGACAGCATTTTTCAGTTTAATTTATAATAAGATGCAGTATCCATATAATTGATTAAACTGCATCGCACATCTGTGTTATCCTTCTAGGGCTCGTAAACGTTGTTTAGATCCTAAATTTCAAAGCCATGGAGGCGACTGAGAAAAATAAAAATTGATCGCAAGACGGGGAGGCGCATGCCACGCGTATGTGTATAGTATAAACCTTGTCACACTTAGATTACAACAAGCCGAAAGAGATCCTAACTTCCATGAAAGTTTTCGATATACTTCATCAACCGGCGTCAGTCGGTAACAGACATATATCACAGATTTTGTGATATAATCAACAAGCTCTTGAATATCGGATCGACTGTTAGTGCTGTTATCTGGGAGAGAAAGCATAAAGCTATCAAGAAATGGAACAGGATTGAAACCATCACTCTTTTCATACAGCTTAAACTGAAATGAGAGATCAATGTAAGAAGATTTTAGCATCCCATGAGCCATGGAAAATAACGTTCTTTTTAAAGACACATAGCCTATATGTGTAAAAGTGAAATCGAAGGCTTTGGGGGGAAAGGTAATAAACGTTTGCATTTACGTTGACGGCAATTCATGCAATAATCAGATAAAAACATAATTATATCAGATAGAAATATACATGCTACACTAATAAGATAATATAAGTCTTTCCGACTGCCCTCTATGTATGCCTCCAAAGGAACTTAGAGGAGATGCGTATGGTACTATGCTTCACACCACTGAATGTTTTTTTTTGTATTTGTTGTTTGTTTTTTATCGTTCATTTCCATTTCTTTTTAATTTTTCTTTCCCATGTTTTCCTTTTATCTCTTAATTAAAAGCAGGGGCAACCTGTCACGTTTAATTAGTAGTAATCTAAGATTATTATCATGATATCCGTAAATAAATACAACAAGGATATTGAAAGGTGGAAATTGGTGGAAATTAGGGGAAGCTTTATGGTCTCCATCATATCTCATTTGGAAATATTCTCCGAGTTCTAGAAGTTGGCGATATCTCTTCATTCCACTATTTAATTGATTCACGTGTACTTTCTAGACAATCCATTTAATGAATCTAAATTAATTACGACGTGAATGCACCTTTCCAACTAGATTTTGACGACTACTGTGACTAGTCGTGATTTTCTTCAGTCCCCTCCTAGGTTTCAATAGTTTAGGCCCTTGGCATCAAAGATTAGTCCTAGAAGGACGAAACAGCTGTAAGATTTAGTTTAATGCATTGTTGTGTGAACGATGTTTATATGCGAGTGTTTATGATTACACAAAAGACAAACACGTGAATAACACTTTTTGATACACATGCGAAGTCAGATAAAGAGATAGAGCCAAACAAAGAATATCACTGATGATTAAACTGATGACGTCGACGACGACGACGACGACGACGACGACGATGATGATGATGATGATGATGATGATGATGAAGATGATATCATATGTGTTAATGTTGGTATGTGTGTTTTGTCTTGTTATTTTTGTGTATTATGCAAAGTTTTGTGAGGAAAATGCATCATACTGCTGTTTCGTCCCTACATAACTCGAGATGATGCATCAATTAAAGGGCATCACTTTTGAAGGCTGTGAGACGACTTTGAAAGTGATCGAAATAAAAGTTAAAGACTAGTTTGGGAGCTGTGATAGCCCCATACTTCATATAAATTTCGTAATTTTTATATATCTGATAGTTTTATGATAACGTCAAGTACATGAGTATTTTCTTTTAGTATTCTTTACTTTGACTGGTGTGTGCAATCAAGTTGTACAGGTCTTTAATTTGATGAATACATTATATATGATTCAAAGTGTTGTGATGAAAGTACTTTGATACATATCTCTATGTTGAGTAAACTTCAATCGTATCGCAATAATCTATAGTAACATTCATACTAAATGAAATGGTTAATTAGACAACTGGTTGAAGGGTTATAGTCCCAAGGAATAGAAACTAATCTGATGTAATGTTATTATAAACAGTTTATATACATATACGTATAGAATCTTATATTTGAAACTCCATAAACTTATTATATCTAACATGATACGACTTCCAATGTTTTAATCTAGCATCGCATTAATTTCTGACTGAAATGAAACTTTCCTTTCCTGGCAGTAGCACATTATATGTTACTATTTACCAATGATATGCTACTCAAGATAATTATGTAACCATTTAGAATAATCGGGAAATATATTTTGATGTGTTGTTTACATTTTATCTGGTTTAAAAAAATTAACGTGGCCGTATTTTCAATAATAAAAATGCATTTCATAAGCGTTTTA